AGGTGTTAAGGCGAACTGACAGAGGGAGGAAATGTGAGGCAGATGACAACGGCAAGGCGACTAGAGCAAGACAAAGATGGTGTCAAGATCAAGAGCGAACCGTTGAAAGCGGGACATTGAAAGCGAGATGTCCAGAGTGAAGCTAAGAAAAACGAGATGCCGAATGCACTGCGATGTAAATGAGGAGAGCAAAACTAGGAGGCATACAGCGAGAACAAAATAAGAAAAGCGAGAAGACGAATACAGAGGGACCAGATTAATGAGAGCAAAGAAATAACTCAAAGCTTAAGCTCGCAAATTTAGTAGTGTACAATAAGTGAAATACCCTTTCCTACCCATGCTTAATAAGTAAAGGGTACAAAAAGACTAAACAAATTTATACATAATCGAACTCTTAAAACAATTTTAAAATTATAAAATTCATGTTTTACTCAAATTTGACCAACTTAAACAAATTAAATTTAAGCTGGTCTTAAACAAAACTATTAAAACCAACCTCATATGCCCAAGCAAGCTGATAATACCCTTTATCGCAGAGTAAATCAGGGCAGCGAATCTAAGGAAAGAGAAAATAAATGTATGTATATAAAACTGAGGGCCCACATAAGCGTTGAAAATATTCCATTAATTTGATTAGACTTTCGGTCGGGACGAGTCGTTTGAGGGTTAAGCCCTCTACAGCCACTGCCGTTAGCGTACGCCAGCGAATCGCATGCAAAAGGCAACACGAAAAGTGAGCATGGTGAAATGGTGGAGTGGAGAGAAAGAAGAAGTGAGCATATGGCAATATTAAGTCTGCATGTTGGACACACCTCACAATTGAGGCGCGCGTGGCTTTATGAAGTGCCGTTATTAGCTATGGGCCAGGAGTGGATTGTTGGTGGTGGGCGGGGCAGCTGCTTGGGCGCATTATGCGTCATAAGAATTTAACGCACAAATGCTCAAATTGTCAATAAGAAAGTTGGCACGCCCCCTACGACTAAGCCAACTTATTTACTTTTTATACCTCGGCGGCACACATTAAACGTCCAGCGCTTCTTCATTAGGCCGGAACCGAGAGCTGAAAGCTAAAACTGAAACTGTTTTCCGGCCAGGCATGGCCATCATTTTTTATGAACCCACTTGGTTGCCGCAGCAGCGCGGGTGTGGTGGGGGGAAGGGGACGCGCGCAGCGCATCAAAAACCCATTTGGCCGCCATTAACTTGATTGAGTCGAGCTGCTGCTGCCACGAGATGTTGCCACAGTTGTTGTTCTTCTTCTTTTTTTTGAGGCATTTATGTTGAAGTCGGCACATAAATGAAAATTGATCATGTGCTTTGTCTTTTCAGTTTGACCTCAACACCACTCCACACCACACTCCCTTCCCCTTCACCCCACACTGCCGGCGTCCATGTCAACAACTAATATTTCAGCTTTTCAGCTTTTTTTGCTTGGTTTTATTTTATTTGTTTCGTTTTTGTTTCTGTTTTTGGGCGTCTAAGGTGCGCGCCTCTTGGCCATTAGTTGTCATTAGGGTGCATTGCTTTAATTAAACTTTTGCTAAAAATACCCTTACGCCAATCAGTCATTAAACTTATCTCGTTCCACATTTATCATCGGAACTTCCAACCGACCACGCCCGCCCCCTGCCGCACCTAATTAAATGCATTGCTTTACGCATCCTTCATGGACAAGCACTTGAAGCTGACCCAGTTTCAGCCAAGCAGGTGCTGCCAGCCCAGCCAAGGCAAGGGATAAGTCACAGTTGCAGTTTCAGTTTCAGTGTTGTGTAGCGCTCTAATTGCATCTGTTGCTGTCACTCGGAGCATTCGCCATAGTTTTCGAAATCAATAAGTCAGCTCTCCTTAGAAATTCGCCCTGCTGTTAACTGGGCTTTAAGCTGATGAAAAATAATTTCACATTTTGCTGGTAGTTGTTTTTAAGCTCCTTTTCCACATAACAACAAATAAAATATAAAAAAACTGTTGGCAAAGTCTCATACAAGCTACTAAACAAGTTCTGAGTAACCTTTGAAAAAATTACCCTGAAAACTTTTTTTGGCAACGCAACATTTATAGCAGCTTGTATATGCAAAAATAAATTCTAGATTTACATTTTCATGGGATTTTTCATAAAGTCGTTTAAAGTGTGTGGTATTATTTGAAAAAACACATTTCTGGAAAAATACTCTTAAATACGTAGAATTGAATGGAAGCTTGTATATTCGAACTGTTATAGAAACATATTGAAATAGAGAGGACTTACATTAGAATTGTCTCGGAAATCGAAGAGTTAGAATTTGCGAGAGAGAGAGTATGAGGACAGCCCACAAAGTGGATGAAAATAATACCTTTATTTTAGTAGACTTAATATTATAAAGCGGATATGTATAATATCGGTAGATAATTTATTCCTCGAATGAATAAATATATGTCTTTTTAGGATATATACCAATCTTTTCTGAAAATCGGACCATAAAGTGATATAATATTCTTTTTTGCTTGGTTTTACAACACTTAATGAGAGCTTCATGAGATGATCCCAAAGGGTATTCAAAAATTTACATCTAGAATGGCAAGCCGTTATTTATCTTTACGAGTACGATTCAAATAAAAGATGAATTTAAAGCAATGCTAAATCTTATCTTATCTTTATTTTTAAAATCCAACGCTTTCAATAACTAAAGAGTACATTTTTGCTCCTTTTTTACAAAAATGTTAAAGTGAAACATTTTGAATGCTTTTATCAGACGGTTGCTCAAGCATATCAAATGGTTCCTTAGGAACTGTTGCATAACAAATCGATTTCACAACCGAGAAGAAACTCACTTAATGCTCGAATCATTGAGTCACGTGTCAAAATAATCATTCGCAGAGCCTTTGGCTTCGAGGACTCACAGATCCAACGGAAGGTGGCTCAACTATAGCCAGACAGTTGGCATGACACGAGCACACACACACACACATACATACAGCATGTCTGTGTGTGTGTTTAGGTACAAAATAAATAAATGTGATTTGTCATTTTGCAAACATAAAGCAGCAGCAGCAGCAGCAACAAAATTTCAAGAAGCTGATTTTGCGAGCGCATTAAATTGCAGTCAAATGGCACACACAGTGCATGCCAAATGTGCACAGACACACACACACACAACTAAATATATATATATATATTTATATATATAGACATTTTGGCCAATGAATATGGTAGCTTTTGGCTTTGGCCTTGCATGGAAACTAGTCGGAACTGGCATGAAGAGTATTAAATTATTCGAGCGTGCGGCAAGCAACAGACTCCACACGAAATACTTTTGTATGCAACACTGCGCACAGAAACCAAATCCAAACTTAGACCCATGCACCCTGTTGCCCCCTTGTTGCCTGCCCCCCAAGCAGCTACTGGCATGAACATCTGTGAGCCTGGCAACTGTCAGGCGACTTTTAGCAGCTCGAGGACTGCAACAAAGTGTGGCAGCAACATCAGCGCTCATTTGCAGCAAATCAACTTCAAGAGTCAATGTTAAGCGCCATGTAAAATTCATTCCACTGAGCACATGGCTAAAACGCCAAAAGGCAGGCCAAGAAAAGCAAACTGGAAAAAATGAATATAAAAAGGAACGTGTCTACGGGATGGTGTATTTGAAGTACCCTAATACGATATAGGGTATCATACTTTTATGATCCGATATGAATACTTAATAATACCCATATTAACAATAATAATAATATTAATGATAATAATAATAAAAACATTAATAATGATAATAATAACAATAAATAATTAAATAATGATAATATTAATGATAATAATAGTAATAGCAATAATAATGATAATATAAACAATAAAAATAAAAAAAAATAATAATAATATTAGTGATAATAATAATAATAATAACATTAATCATGATAATATTAACAGCACAAATAATAATAATAATAATAATAATAATAATAATAATAATAATAAAAATAATAATGATAATAATGATAATAAAAGTAATTGTATTAATTATAATGTATGTATGTTGTCTGCCGATTACTTCGGTAACAATATATATGGTGTGGTTGTTCAATGTTGAAAAATTTCTGCTCAAGAGATAATTTAATAAGCCAACAAAACTCTATTCGCAATAATAATAAAAATTATAAAATAATATTAATAAAGTAATTATATAAATAATTATTATTCATTATTTTAACTCAGACCATATGCTTGTGAGATTATCATTTGTATTATAATTATACCAATAAAATAAAAATTATAATGAAATAGCACTAAGAATAAAATAATTTTAATTAGCTTGTATGTTTTTCATACTATCATAATATAATATATTAATAATGCATGTAAAATAATTTTTAATTATAATACAAATATTTATAATGAATTATAATATATAAGGATTAAGAATCGCAATTATATTTGATTTATATCTTTTATGCAAGATTCTTATTTCAGATTAATCGTTGCTATGAAAACTGCTATAAAATGAGATTCTCTTGTAAGTAAATTAATTTTTATTACTTATTTGACTTGGTCAATTTTCATAAATTACTTCTTCAGAAATTGTATCACAATTATTATTATACAAAAATTTGGTGTCGATTTTAAAAAATGCCTGACATACAACAACTGTATTCAATGTCAGCCAAATGATATAGTAAACAGATCCGACATATCGAAGGTAGCTGCAATAAAAATATGGATCTATGCCAAGTTTCATCTAGTAATCATTTGCCTAGAAACAGGCAGCCAGATATATAACAAATCAGCCTATTTATCCGTTACATATTAACATACCAAATCAACGTACCTTGCGACAAGAGCATACGTCGAAACATCAAGAGATGCCTGCAAAAGTTCGAGAGGCCGTCAGCTGGCGTTGACATGTGGCGCAAGGGCCGGGTTCAACAGGCCCCAGCTATTGACCTCTGCACAGGTTGCGAACTGTACCTGCACGACAGCCGAACGGCCCAGCGGCCCACCCCAATCCCATATGCATGTCAAATATGTCGGCATGTTGACTGATTCCAAATGCTTTGATTTCAGAACTTGACTTGCGACAGTTGCACAATTAAACAAAGCGATGTGAGAGGAAATCGTTGAGATACATATGTAGCTTCAGCAGTTCGTGTAGATCACCTTGGGCGCCGGCTTGGTATACTCAAAAAGTTCCGTGGGCTGGATGATGGTGAATGAACATTTCAGATTCTTGCTTATCTTGAGAACAGCGCCCGAATTGTTCATTTGACCACAATAATTTGGGGCGGAGAATATGGTGACCAGTCGCCGATGGCCAAAGAACTCGTAGCCGTCCTCGACCACCTCATGGGCGCGACAAATCAAATCGAAATCGTGGCGACTGAGAAACTCGCGCACAACATCGTCCGAGTAGGTGATGCTGACGCCGCGCTCATTCGTGCCCCAGCCCTGGCTGCTATGATTGAGATCGGCCCAGAGCAGATCGCAGAGCAGGCCCGAGTCCGGCACATCTGTGGGTCGCGGCAAATCGCGTATCTGTTGCACACTCTCTAAATGGGGCGACAATCCGCCGTGGCAGCAGAAGATGCGATCGGCAACTACGGCGGCCACCGGCATATTGTTGAAGCAATCCACAAAGCAGCGCCAGAGCTTGACGTTATGACGTCGCTTTATCTCATCGTAGAAGCCTGAGGGACAATATACTTATATATATATAGGCATATATCTGCGCAGATCTCGGCCTCACCGTAGATCTTGTTGATGCTCGCGCACTCGTGATTGCCGCGCAGCAGATGCATCTGCTCCGGATAGCGCACCTTGTAGGCAAATAGCAGGCTGATCGTCTCTAGCGACTGCTTGCCGCGATCCACATAATCGCCCAGAAAGAGGTAGCTTCTCTTCGGCGGATAGCCGCATGCCTCGAATATGCGCAGCAGATCCCCAAACTGGCCGTGCAGATCCCCGACCACATTCACCGGCGCCTCCAGCTTCAGCAGCATCGGCCGCTTCCTAAACTCAACGCGTGCCTGGTCGCACAGCGCGCTGATCAGCTCCGCACTCAGCTGGGAATAGCCGCCCTTCAGATTGGACAATTGCGCAATGATGCCATCGATATCCCCCGCACTTAGCGACATTTGCAGGCAAAAACAAAATTAAACAAATGACAATTTTTTAAAAGTTTTCTAGCTTCTATATTTAACTGTGGTATTTAAAATTTGTCGTAGCCTTTTTAACTATGAGATGGTTTTTTAGTTTGTAAACCTTTAACATATACACACAAGCCAACACACGCCTACTAACACCTACACACTCACACGCACACCCACAAAAAGGCTTACACATAATTGTCAATTCAGTTGCGCCCAAGGTCCTGTAATGCCAACCATAACCAAAGGTTAACACACACAACATATCAGCACTAGAGATGTGCGTGTCGCAATGTCGTATTCACGCAACACGACACGAACACGAGCACGACACGCACTACGAAAACATTCACAATAAATACACGATTAGCTGCACATTTTCAATCATTTTCGTTTCTTTTTCAGGCACAAGTATTTTTTTAATCAAAGCATGTTATTAGGGAAAAATACCTTTTAAAGATTCGCAACTTATTCATGTGTTCAGCATTCGCTTACAATTTAAATAACCCCATTTTATTTGTAAATAAATAGATATTATTATTGTAACCTTCTAAAGAGTGCGATGAGTTTCTGGAATTCTATAGTTTTAGGAGAAATTTTAATCAAGCCCAAAAATTCTTGATCGGACGAATATTGCAAATTGAAAACTAAATTTCTCAGAAAATACTTGAATATTATTTTTGCCCTTATGGAGGATATAATAATTTAGTCTTGAAAGAAACTGTGTCGCACCACATAACAAATATAAATTCTCGATCAGTTCTAACAGTACACAAAATAGAATATTCGGTTAAGTATTATAAACTACATTTTTCCAGATAATAATTACATACTATTTTTATATCCCTACAGGTGGTGTATTAATTTAGCCTTAGAAGAAAATGTAGCGTACTATATCCTTATAGAAGGTATGAAAATTTAGCATTAGAATTAACTGTATTTCACCCCATAATGTTTATAATTTTTTGATCAATATCAACAGTGTTGGAATCCACCAGATCGGATCACTATGTTAAATGGGAATAATTCGACGAAAGTTGAAAATTTAAGAACTGCATCTTATTCGAAGATAATTATTCTTTTTATGCCCTTATAGATGGTTTAATATTTAAGACTTGGAATTAATTTTATTCCCGGCATAATGTGCATAAGTTCCTGGTCAGCAACAGTACATTTATCTGAATCTACCGGATGGGATCACTATATATTATAGGAATAATCGCTCAAATATTTAGTTGACCAAACTTGGCATTTAATAGCTGCACTATGCTTCTTCTAATATTTGAGCAAAATAAAAACAAATACACAAAATCAGCTTCAACAGAAATTTATATATCACACAGCTCAAATGAGTTTTTGTATGAAAAACTTTTCACTTCTTTCATATGTATATCATGACCTCAGTAGCTACAGTATTGACTTTTAATAGTGTATCTGCAAAGCCTCATCAACTCGAATTACTTCAATATAATATGGCACCTAAAGAAAAAATCGCTCGGATATAGGGCATACCTTATATATTCCTAAAATGTCTCTTATATATATGCGGCAAAAGCCGCGCGTGTTTGTAATAAATAAACTCGACACGTTTCCAGCTCTAATCAACACACACACGCATACACTCACCCAGACACACACTCGCACACACAACCTGCCCCTCTCCAGTGGTCAAGTTAAAGCAGAAGCGTTAAAGTGCAAAAGATTTATGAAATTTATTTATGTGCCTGTAAAAATGCCAACGGCAAGTGCTGGGCGCTACAGAAGGCGGACATGGGCGTGTTTGCTTTGTGGCGGGGTGGCGTGAGGGGTGTGCGGGGGGCAAGCATGTATTTGGGCCAGGCTAACATCACATTCCCATCAACTGAGCGCGGCAACTTGAAGCGGCGGCCATCACAATTTTTCGTTGTTGCGGCGTCGTCGTAAGCGGATTTGCGACAAAACTCATTCGACTCGAACCACGCCCACACCAGGACCAGCTGGACACTGGCTCGGTGCGGTCGGCTGGGCACAGTTGGCGCGGGAGCAAAAGGGGCGGATGGGTGGGGAGGTAGGGGTGGAGGCGCCTTAGAGGCTGCAGCTTGTTAGCAATGACAGCAAGGAGCATCGAGGCTAAATCCTGTTAAAATTTAGTGCAAAATAAGATAGAATGCTGGCTCTGGTGCCCTGTGCCAAGGAAAGCGGCAAAAATAAAAGAAAGGCAAAGTAAATTATTTCTGCTATACAGATACATATATATGTATATATAAATATATATGCATGTCTTGTACTTTGCGCACTTTCACTGAGGCATTTTTTTCATTCAAAAGTAAAATGAAATAAAATAAAATAAAATAAAATAGAATAAAAACTGACCCGACTTACAAATACAAATACATCTAATATATATATATACTATATATATATATATTCGTATATATTTCGCTGGGCCATAAATTGCCGCCGAAAGCTGCAAAAACAATAAAAATAAATGAACTTGAGTTCGGCCGTCGCTCCATGGCTGAAGAACCCCGGCAATTTCATTATTATTACTTCTCTTAGTAACGCCAACTTTTCTTCACGGCTATTGTTTATTTGACTTTTTGGCCGTTTTGGCTATTAGTATTTATCGTTGGGCCCCCAGCATGCCTCTAACAACATTTATCTTTATAAATGTAGCCATACCAAAAAATAATAATAAACACAACAATGATTCTAAAAGGAAATTTTGGAAAAAAGAGTTAAGTTTAGAGAGCATCGAAAACTATACTTATTAAAATATGTACTTTTGAAAGTTTTTGACAGTTGGAAGAGTTTTTTTTTACCATAAATTATTTATATTCATGGTTTTCAATCTGAATTCTATTCTATTTCTTTTTATTTAATATTTAGTTTTCAAATTTTGGCTTTCGCTTTATTTTTTTCTGTTTTTCTTCTCGTGACGCCTTTCTATGCGATTTTCAAAAAATTAAATTAAGGTTTCTAATTATGGGATTCCTTTAATGGATGTGTTGTCCAATTTTTTATTTATTCTATTTAGTTAATTTCAAATTTTTACCAATTTTTGTGCGTTTAGTTTTCACGTATAAAGAACAAGTGTTGCTCTAGCTCTATTTCTGTTCTATTTCTCTTTGCGTTTGTCTAGAATAATTATCGCCTTTCTATGCGATTTTCAGGTCAGGCTTAATAATGATGGGATATCTATAATGAATGTGTTGCGTAATATAATATTATTAAATTATATTATTAAATTACTTCTGAATTGCTGTCTGTTCGTTTCCCAGCTATTTAAATATAGAGCAAATATTTACAAAGCCTTGTAAGTTCATGATAAGAGGCTTTCGGACTCACTTGGTTTCTGGCACTCAGCCATTCACTGGCTGTCGTTCTCTCTTTCCCTCTATTTTTCGGTCTCTCTTGTTCTTGCACCCTTCTTAACAATTAAGTTATAAATAGAGCAATTTGTCACTTTTTTCTTAAATTAAACTCAAGTTGTGGAGTTCTTTTTAATGCACTACACATGGCTGATAATCTGATATTTTTAATTCATGTTTGCTACTCAAAAAAAATCTCGAAATAAGTTTCTAAAATCTTGCTCAACCCTTTCAACTACATAAAGTGTTCTTTTAGGTACTTTGTCTACTTTAAGTCGTAATCGGCTAATGCTCTCATTCTCTCAATCTCACCGTGTGTTTGTGTACGTGTGTGTGTGTGTGGGTGTGTGCGTGGTTGTGAGTGCGCAAACAAAAAGCAGATGGAATCAAAATAAAATACTCATAAATACCCGTGAATATGGCAACGTTTACAAAAAGACGACTTCAAAGAGAGGCAGCATTCAGAGCGAGTCAGAGAGAGAGCGAGAGAGGGAGAGAGAGAGAGAGAGAGAGTTGACGGGTTACATGCAACGGAGACCGCTCGGCAACGTAAACGGAAACGGAACTGCTGTCACTGCCGGGATCCTAAGTCCCAGCACGTGCGAGGCCCTGAATATATTGTTGCTGCTGTTGCGTGAAGCGTTTGAGTGGAAAAGGCAATCACAAATACTGACAGTTGCTCGTTCTTGCTATGTTCTTATATACAGATATATATATATATAAATTTTGTAATATTTTTATTTTTTGCAACATCTCATTTCAATTTTCGATGTGCAACTTCTGCTTATTTGAAGTTTCATTATGCGCTCAGTGCATTTAATATACGAGCCAAGAAATCAATGAATACCGAAGGTTGCATGCGCAGCTGGAGAAGAAGAAGCAGGACAGCAGCCTTGAGGCACACTTTGTAAGCCGCACATCTTTGGGAGACTTGACAACTTAATGTGGCCGAGCTTGAAAACAATTTGTTTTGGCCCCCAACACTGGCCAGCTGAGGGCTACCCACAAATTCGAATAAATATTGAAAACCGTAAAGGATTTGCCCATTCAGGCCGAGAAGCTCACTTATAATCCGGCATTGCTTATAAACTCAGCATAACTTGAAAACCGACAGTCATTTATTTGTGCCGGGCCTGAAAATAGTTTTGCATGCTTCGAAGACGGCACACAACAAAGCGAATCATTCATGGTTTTCAGAGCATGAATCACATGCAAATCGGACAACGGGCGCCGGGCAGCGGTCACTGTAAATAGATTCATAAATCAGCATGAAAACATTATTTTGATTTCCGTTCCACAAAAGAATGCAACGAGTGCCGTGCCGAGCAGAAGTAGATAAAGAAACAGAGAATCGGAGATGTTGACGGAAGCAACTAATTGGAGCATAAACTAAATTCAGTAAAGAGCAATGAGTTTCTGTCCATACTCTACACACTTTTCAAGCAGCTTGGCAAATTCTGGGAAATTCAATAAAAACGATTCAAATATGCCAAAGTATATGAACCATAGTTTGGAAGAGATTTAATAGTCAGGCAAAAGCAAAATTTAAATACATTAATATCTTTCTTAGTGGGGTCTTCCTGATATCATTGCAATAATTAAAATGTAAAAAAAAACCCAGCCTAGTCTAGTTGTATGCAGCTTCCTTCCTCCGCTTTATTTTTAATTTTTCTATGCAAAAAAATATCTTACATAGATTTATTTAATAATTGAAAGCACCCACTGGTTATTTTCTATATGTATATA